GCTCGAAACGTCAGCTTTTATAACCGTAACAGTAGCCAATTTACCATTTCAACTTTGTTGATATATTCAAATTATATGTGGGAAGAAATGTTCCCTTTTATTGTAAAGTTTGCTCTCAAAAAAACACTATTTTATAATTATTTAACCTCAAGAATTTAAAAGTGGTCGAATTGGAGAATCCAAGAAGTGACATAGGCGTGTTATTTAGTCTTGTATGTCTCACATCAATATTTATGCCTAGCTACCCTTTTTTGTACTGTTTTTACTTAAAGTAGTGGTTTTTCGTATCTAGCGTAGCACAGGCTCTTTTTGTAGGACCCTTCAGTTTCAGTGACTACATGCAGTGCATTGCAGACTGTATTAAGATGGATATACTAGAAGACTGGCTGACTCGTCCTGAGTAAACTTTTCACATTGAGTATTTCGTCTGAGTGTAGTCAGAATGTTTAGTCTGAAACGGTTCATATGAGTCTACTTTTAAGATATTGACCACCAGTCGTGTATCTTTCCATGTTATATATTGACCTATCTGAGCTAATAAAAACTTGGACATAAGTGTAAAACTGTAGAATATACTTAATAGATCCTCAGGTTGGTGAGGTCTGTTTTGAATGTTGATGCTCCAGATGTTCTGACAAAAAGTAAAGGTAATGCAAAAATCCAATCACAGCCTGCATTAGAACAGTGGCACAATCAGTGAGCTAGTGCGAACTGACTGGTACAGTTACATTCAATCAATTTGGGAATTCTGAGCATTTTTATGCATTTCTTAACCAAAAAGTAATTCGGTGTCATGTTGAAACATCCAGTGCGCTCCACCCTGCCACTGAGAATATCTCACTAGGCAACTTTGAAGTGTAGCTACTCTATATTTCAGTTCATGATTAACAAAAATTAGATCAGTATTTCGGTTAACAGGGCCATCTTTTGTTGACAACTCAAAAACAACTACAGCTGTAAATTTCAATCTTGGATTTTTTTGTTTCAGAAATCATTAGAATTTCCTCGTAAATATGCCTCTACTTGGGGTAACTGCCTAAAGTCTGTCGGGGTCTTATTTGAATTATCTAATTAGCTACTGCAGCAAGACTTCGCAAGCGAAAAGTTTGCATCGATACTGTAAATCTCGACATATAATATCGTTTTTTTTTTATCACTGTTACTGTGAAGCTTACATTCTAGCTACTTAAGAGGTTTCATTCGTCAATTAGTTATTTAGTACGAAATCGAACATCAAATGATCGTCGTGACACAACCAATGTATTTTTTAATTTTATTAACCCAGGATACAGTGATAAACATAAGGAAAACCATTTTATCAGATAACGTGTATTCCTTGCTCCGTTTTTTCGTGGATTTTAGAATGGATACCCAGATCTGCGAGTAGTGAAGAATCCTTTAGATGAACAAAATTAATCATAAGTGGTAAAAACTGAAAACAACAATAACAACCATAAAATCAGCAACAAGCCCTCCATAGAGGAGTGATCAATTTTCTGCCTTAACTCTAATCAGTTAATCACTGAGGGAATTCATCAATATAAGTAGTTTGTAAACGGGATTTCTGTTTGGTGTAGACAGCAAACACTAACACGGCAAGGGCGAATCAGTATAAAGTCCGCCGGAAACGAAATAAGACTTGTGATCAACCTGAGAAGGAAATTAAACTGAAGGCAGCTCTCGGCTCGCCACGCCACGAGATCCGATTTGTTTATATTTTTGTCCGCTAATATTTTGTTACGTTGTTTATTTGGGCGTTTATTACTACTTTTAAAGGGGAAAACGCTTATGCTTTCTTACGTTTAGCCATTTTTGTCATACGTCAAAGTCACAAAAAAATAAATGAAAGAACCGGCACGTCTAATAAGATTGTAAGCTTATCGTTTAGTTCTGTGACATGGCCACCATTACAAACGTAACAGCTCATGTATCACTCAGTCGACGTAGGATGATTGACTTTCAGTTGCACACTTGGGAACTTTGGTTTTCTTGCAGGAAACACCTCATCTATTGTCCAAAACTATAATAGTCTCAGAGGGTGAACCAGAGAGCTCAACGAAGATGAAACGATAGTCAAAACCCCCTCGTGATCCCTGCGGTCAGAAAAAAACATATAATTTTGCGTTAATTCTTTATAGGTTCCCTTGCAAACTTGGCCTGTAATAGGCTCTCGGTCAGTGGAAACAAGCGCAGAAGCAAACGCGCGAAAAATTGGCCAGGGTTAGGAAAAAAAAATATTGTTTTCCTAACAAACACAACCGTCGTCTGTTTCCTGTCTGCTCTTTCACGTTCTCTCACTGACTGAGGGTCCTTTGGAACAGGCCAGCACTAAATGCTTGAGTGCATGGTATGAGTTCAAGTTACAAGGCAAGAACAACTGGGGATGAGGTATTACTTGTCATTGATATTTAAGGTCATAAACCAGTCTCTTAAAACTCTTCTTTAGTGCTTTAAAGCAATGGCCAATCGGGTTTCAGAAGCATAAAATTACTTGGATTACTTCAAATCATCCTACACAAAATGCTGACTTTTCTTTTCAGGTAACCTCTCAGCCATTTGTCACGTTTCCGTCAAAGTTTGCCGGTAGCCATTGACACTACTGGGTGGCGAGAGGTACTGTGAGTGGAGAGACTTTTCCTCAACAACACCGCAAAATGACACGCCCAGGGTTCAAATCCAGACCTGTGATGCGGAGTCCATCATACTACCTGCCAGGACACTGCGTCTCTTTAACCAATCAAAGTGCAAAAAAACAAAAGCAAGAGCTCTGTAATTCTGCTTGCAACACTCTATCAACCACTTCTTAATACTGAAAATTCAAATTACCTTTTTTACATCAACATGAACAGTTCCTTTCCGTTTGGGTCCAGACACATAAAACTTCACTCTCATGTAGTTCTCGCCATCCACTAAATATTCTTGATAGCTGTAATAAAATACAATACGAAGGTATAAAAATGGCTTCAAATTTGACTGAATCACAAAGCTGTCAGATTATATCCCTGAGTCTGTAGCTAACAGCGACTGGCAGTATCGCTATTACATTTGAATGGCTGGATGGATACCAGTCCATCATGGGTTGCTACAAACAACTTGTACGGTTTCCCTGCCAGTTCACGTGTATCTAGGTGGAAAGAGGCATTGTGACAGTGCTATACCCAAAACTCAATAAAATGACCCAAACCATGACTTAAACTTAGATCTTTTTAAAAGGGAGCCCAGTGTCATAACCTCAAGGACATTGTATCGCATACTGGTATAAAGGAAAATTAGTCAATGAATCCAACATCAGTGAAGAACAGAAGTATGAGGGATGAACAACAAGCCGTGTTTCAGTCTACCAGATTCAACTTACATGTACATGAAATACATAAGCAGGGTTTTCAAAATATATTAGTAAAAGATGTTTCTGGTCACCTTAAGGGCTTCAGCATAAAAAAAAAAAAATGCTAGAGTATGTAGGTATGTTCTCTGACAATAATGATTTGAGCAACGTTTTTTTACTATTCTCCTACAACTTCAAATTTTGTTTTAAAAATTTGGTACCTTGAATATCTTGAGCTCAAAGTAAGTAACAGAATTCAGTTACTACCTGACATGTCTTCTTCTTCCTCTTGAAGTTGTCTCTCCATGGCCCATTATTGGTTCTCCAATTGCTTCAATTACCTGTACAGGGAATTTCAGGACGTAATAAGAACAAGGGTCATCTGGAAATTAGGAAGCAAGACCTAGAGAACCTAATAAAGCTTGTGAACAATTCTGAGTTGTTTTGAGTCTTGAGTTGAATTCCCCAAAACTTGTATGGTTTTGCACTGACACTTGCTTCAAAATTGATTAAAAAAAACAGTAACTTAGTGGTGCCTAGCACTTTGAGCTTCTGTTTAGATTGAGGAAGTTAATATATCAATTATACCAAACCAAACTTAACCCCACATAAAATAAAATGGTGTTGAAATTATTGTTCCTGCTGAAAAATGTATGGAAGATTTGATCATAAGTCTCCATTCTTGGTCATGATTTATATTTTTTTATTTTCAGTTCCCACAAACTGAGTTTTTCTTTCCTCACCTCTGCACTTGCTTTGACCTTTTTGAGAGCTTTAGCATAAACTTTATTTGCACTGAAGCCAAAAAACAGCTCACTCACAACAAACCATATTAAAGCACCTGAAAAAAAGAATATGTATTATGTTTAAGCTCCATGTGGCACAAACCCAGTTTCTTAGAAGGACAAGGACTGAGAATGGAGGTATTTCCCATTCAGTCCCCATTCCTTCTGCCTCCTGTTGTATTTGACCACTTCCATGGAAAAACAATTTTTGTAGCATAGGATTGAATCATATAGCTTGCATCTTAACCTTGAGAACCAGCTGATGTTTGGGAGAGAAGCCTACATGTACCCTTCCTTAAGGAAAGGAGACTGGGCGAGAGAGAGAGGGGGAAAATTGAGTCTCTTCACCCAATCACATTTGGACTAAAAAAATCAAGACTAGAGGGGTAATGAGATACTTCATTACTGTTTTCTACTGAATACATAATAAGAAGGGAAAAGGTCATACAGCAATGGCAATAATAGAAAGAATGAATGCAATATTAATAATAACCATTACAATTTCCTCAAATATGATTGGTGCATTAGCCGTTTCATTTTTCACTAACTATTCTGTAGTATTGGTATAGGAATGTTTTACATTGCTATTATAGCTGTTCTTTTTATTTTCAATCCAGAGGCTGATCTTAGTTCTAAGCAACAATGGCAGCAAGTTTGATACGATAAGACCATAAGCAAAAGGTGCAATCCCTGAGGCTAGATTAAAGGTGGTAGAGCATTTTGAAATATGGGAGGGCTTATCTTCCACTGAGCCATGTGCATACCCCTACTCAAATTTTTACAAAATGCCTTTTGCATTGTGTATTGGCACTGCCCCCTCCATGTTTCCCCGAGGTCTAAATATACTACTACATGATAGTAATGATACTGACAGCTACCTGTAATTGCAAATCCTATGAGAATAATACCAAAGTAGCTGACATCTTTTCCAGCCTGTACAACTGAGAAGAATGAACATTAAAAAATCTTTAGTAAAGTAAATTCTACTATCAAAGACAGAAATGTAGCAGAATGAATGTAGAATGAAGTCTCCTAGTAGAGACATTTTTGTTGACTAATTTTTCTGCAAAAATGTCACCAAGAAGAGTTCACATTCTATTCAAATAGACAGACCCCCTTCCCCCAAATACTTGTCTGTCTTCTCTAACATGTATCCAGGACCTTTCTTTTCCCTTACAAGACGCAACTCAAAAACCAGTTGTGAGGTGTGAGGGATTCTTTGCCTGTTTCTCGATGGTCATGTCTACTACTGTTAAATTGTAATTTTCTAAACAGACTTTAAAAAGCTGCTGTTCAAGAGATGCCAATCTCTGAAAATCTGAATGCGAGGGATCTTTGATTTTGAATCACTTCACTTTCACCCATAAATTTGTTTTCAGATTTCCCCAGTCTTCTTCAACAACTGAAGTCATGGGTGTAATATCTAAACATTCTCTTCCACCTTTAAGGAAAAGATAATCAAATTTACTTTTCTTTGGGAGATTTAGAGACCTGTAGGAGAGACCAGGAGATTTGTCCTGTATCTGGAGACCCCAGGATTATCCCTATTAGTTTCTTTTTTTCAAAGAAATATGGATTTCTTTAGCTCTGAATTCTTCCTAGCAGGTGATTACTCAGACAGTACTACAAAATTATTGTCATGAGGATATAATGGTGGGAGCCTCTAGGCCAGGGTTCTCTGCTACAAGCCAAAATCCAGCATCAAAATGCACTTAATGGGATCATTTAATTTCAATTCAATTTCAATTTCAATTTATTTATTTGTTAGCAAAACAATATTATCACAGTCCTAGGTGACCCGCAATTAGCAAGCTATTCTAGGCGGGCCACCCTTCTAAAACAAGTGCTGTCTCTGCTAATGATCACATACCGATACAGTTAAACAAAGATAATCATTAAATAAAAATACAATTGTTAAATAAAATAAAATAAAATTAAGTCCGTTGAATAATTAAATAATCAATTGCAAAGTTATCAAGATATATAATACAATTGAAACAAGACTTAAACGAAGAGTTACTTTATCAAGAGATATTTACAAATTTCTGAGCAGCGTATATCAACATTCATCTCCTCATTTTCCAAAAGTTTTAACAGGCGATTTTTAAGTTCACGCTTAAACGGGGTTCTGTTTTTAATACGAAGTTCTTTTGGGATGCTATTCCACAATCTTACACCTATTCTAGCAAAAGAAAATAAAAGTTGGTTAGTTCTAGACGCTTTAACGTATAGATTAGCCGTTGCTGAGAATCTTGTGAAATGGTGATGAACCTGCTCGGAGTGGAGAAAGAGCATAGAAATATTAGACGGGGCACGGTGATTATCAATGTCATGCATCAAAGAGGAAACCAAATGAGAATAGAGCATAGTTATTGGTAAGATTCTGGAGTTAACAAATAGCGGGGCACTATGAGTTTTGCTATCCGCAAAATACATTAGTCGTAGAGCACGTTTTTGTAAAATGAGAACCTTATTTAAATGAGTGTTAGCAGCTTGTCCCCAGGCAATAAGACCATAAGAGATATAGGGTTCAATTAAGGAGCGGTAGATGTTAAGAAGTGTGGCAAATGGGACAAGATGTCTTAACCTGGCAATTATACCAATTCCTTTACTAACTTTAGATGAGATATAATCAATATGATACTTCCAAGAGAGGTTATTATCTATCAGAATTCCTAGATATTTCACAAAAGTTTTTTGTTCTAGAGATACACTTTTTTTAAGATCGTTATTATAAATTTTCAAGTGAACTATGTAGTCCAATTTGCGTTGGTAAGGATGGAAAATAACAAAGTTAGATTTACTAGTGTTAAGAGAAAGTTTGTTTGCGTCCAACCAGTCACCCACTTTTGCGAGTTCATCATTAACAACTTTTTCAAGATCCTTAAGATCTTTGTTTGAATAAAGCAAGTTAGTATCGTCAGCAAATAGGTAAAACTCAAAAATCTGGGAGCAACGGTAAATGTCGTTAACATAAATCAAAAAGAGAAGGGGGCCAAGTACAGACCCTTGAGGGACACCACAAACTATCTCTTCTATATTCGATACGGTTGAACCAATTTGAGTCGACTGGTTCCTGTTCAACAAGTACGAAGAGAACCAGTTATTAATTATTCCTCTGACTCCATAATGATATAATTTGTGCAGTAAGATTGAGTGATCCACCGTATCAAATGCCTTTTTTAGGTCAATAAAAATACCACAAGAGAATAACTTTGCATCAATATTAGTTTGAATTTTGCTTAAGATATCTAAAATTGCATGTTGGGTTGAACACTTGTCTCTAAATCCATATTGAGAAGTAAAAAAGATACCATTTTTTTCGCAATGTGATTTAAGACGTTTAGCCATCAATTTCTCAAATAATCGATTGAAGACAGAAAGGAGGGAAATTGGGCGGTAATTACATGGATCAGTTTCGTCTCCCGATTTGTAGATAGGAATTACTTTGGCATGCTTCAAAAGATGGGGATAAATACCCGTTGAGATAGACTTATTCATCATGGCAGCTAAGAGTGAAGAAAGGATATGGCGCCCAGATTTTAGAAGATGAACCGGGCAAGAATATAGGCCATATACTTTATTACTGGGTATAGCCAAGATTTCCAAGTCCACCTCGGATGGAACGACGGGATCAAAAAAGAAAGACTTAAAGTGATTAGTGCCGACAAGGTAGTCCTGGAAATTTATCCTGGAAGGTGATATATTGCGTGCAAGCCGCGGTCCAATAGACGCAAAGTACTGATTAAAGATATTGGTTATTTCAGACGGATTTTGTGTTACTCCAGAGTTGTTAGAGCGTTGAAGGGCTGATACTGTTTTTTTGTTACGCTGTCTGTTCAATAGTTCATTAATCCCCTCCCACGTTTTTTTAACATTTCTTAGATTTGTAGTGAAGTAAGCTTCATAATACAATCTTTTACTGAGACGAGAAAGACTAACAATTCTATTCCTATACAGCTTATATTTTGATTTATCTCCTGAGTAAAAAAGTCTATTCTTTATTTTGATAGATTTACGTAGGCCCTTAGTTATCCACGGTTTGGAAAATTGTTTAGCCTTGCGCCTAGATAAAATTTTGAGAGGAGCGTGTTTATTAATGAGCTTGTTAAATTTATTGTAAAAGGAAGAAAAGCATTTGTCTACAGATCCATATGTCATTGAGTTATCCCAATCAGTATCCGAGACATCATTAATAAAGCATTCTTCAGAGAAGTTGGAATAATCGCGAATTTTATGTTT